TACGTTCGTGTCCTGACTATACCGCTACTATCTTAATAAAAATGTCATAATAATCGCAGACTGGTTTGTTTTACTTCAAAACGTTGCTCACTGCTGTCATACTCCGTTAATGTTGACAACAATATTTTGAATTCTTTTTTTTTCCTCAACCGATCGTATGATAAGTTTTTAATGCTTTTGCTCAGAGAGAGAGAGAACTCGGCTTATGTTACGTTTCTACAGTTTTCGGAGACTTTTTTCCCGGTCAGGGCGATTCACTTAGGAAAAGGGGAGAGAGAGAGAGAGAGAGAGAGAGAGAGAAAGGGAGAGGAGAAATTTCATTTATTTTTATTAGTTTGTTTATTAGTTTATTTGCGTAATATAAGTATATTTTCTTCTTTTTGTCATCTTTTTTCAGTAATTTTCTGCAAAAGGATTTTACTAAGAATATTTAAATATTAGTCTTAAAAAAAAACTTGGAGCAAACTTAATTTGTTTCGTTGTTTTTGTAATGTTGCTATAAGAGAGAGAAGATATTGAAAATTGTTGAAAACAAATTCAGTTTTCCTCTGCGTGTGTGTGTGTGTGTGTGTGCATGTTTTTACGTGTATGTTGTTGTTATGTGTATGTTGCTATATGAAAAAATGAAATTATTTCTTCTTCTGCTTCTTCTTACATTTTAAGAATATATTTTCAAAAATAATTTACACACATAATAATAATAATAATAATAATTTTCAAAAAAAATCAAAATATCAAAAATGAAAATCAATCAAACCAAAGAAAAGAAATTTAAATTAAAAAGGAATAAATAAAAGTAAAAAAAAAAAAAATAAAAAAATAAATATTAATAATAATAATAATAATAATAATAACAACAATAATAAAAAGACGCCAATTATCGAAAAAGAAAATTACGGTCGACATGCCATTAACTTATACGGATAAGTAATTAATTTAAGTAAGAAAGCGGATGTAATACCAATACGCACAAATATATATTTAAATATAAACTGAAAGCAATAAAGCATTAATATTAAATAAACGAATTAATAAAATGAACGAATAATGAAATGAAATCAAATTAAAAAAAAAAAAAAAAAAAAAAGCAAAACAAAAAACAAAAAAAAAATTGTATAATAATTAATAAAAATCTTAGCGAAATTTCTGAGAGAGTGTTGTCTTCGTTATATTAAAACATTAATTAATTAATTGTATGTATATTAATCAGGCAAGTAAAGCTAACAAAAATAATGTGGCGGGCATGTACGGAGAACGAAAAGGACGAGAAGGAAGAAGAGAGTGAACATGTATATGAAAGTGAAAGGATCCGGAAAAGTTCTAGCGAATTTTGTTGTCTTATGAGCTTTGGAGAAGGAAAGAAAAGAAAAAAATTGAAACATATATATGTATATATATTGATATATATATATAACTATATATTTTTTTTTTTTTTTTGTTTTTTTAATAATCACAGATGTGCTTTTTTAAATTAGCTACAGGTGTGGTAGGTAGGTACAAGTAGGTAGGTAGGTAGGTAGGCGGGTAGGTAGATAGGTAGCTAGATAGCTAGGTAGGTATATTTCTGCTGTTGTTTTTGTTATTGTTGTTGTTGTTGTTGTTGTTGTTGTTGTGTGCTTTTTTAGTAATTGAACTTTATGTATTAATTGCTAAGAAATTATTATTAGTTAATAATATAAATTTGATTATTATTTACTTGCTTTACCTTTTATGCTTTGTTACACAATAGACTTTTGACTTTAACTTCGGCTGTAAGTCGATCATTATTAAGTAAGGAGCGAAAAAACAAAAACAAACAAAACAAAAACAATGAAAAACAAAACAAAAAATATAGAGGAAAAGAGATAAAAAAAGGTAAAAAAAAAAAAAAAAAAAAACAATACCAATGAAGAGCTTACGTGAAGCGTTTTCTATTACAAGGCGCAGTCAATTGTTGCATTTTGATTGTCTTCCCGCTCAGACTAATATAGATGTCTCGTATTCGCTTTGTTTTATATGTATGTAATTTTTATTTAATTTTCTAGCATTTTTTTTTATTCAATTTTTACATTTAATTTTTCTTATATGTATTTCTTTTGTAATTAGTTTTATTTTATTTATTTATTTATTTATTTATTTTTTTTCTTCTATTATTATTGTATAATAATAAACTTAAGTGTTTCTATTATTCATTATCATTTTCTTTATCTTTTTTATTTTTAGTTTTATTTTTTTATTTTTATTAAGTCAATACATAAAAACCGTATATACAACTTTGTAGACATTATTACATACATACATAATTTGAGATCTGTTTTATAGTTTAAAAGCTAACTCACAAGTAATATAATAAGAGATATTATGGTGGGTAAGTTCCCGACCAATGATCTACACCATTAAGCCAGATGTGAAACCACATGCTATCGTCAATGCAACAAAGAAAAAAAAAAACAACAAATAAACAAAGAATCCGTTATCGATAAGGCATGTATGGTCAGCCAGCTAACTGTTCACAGAGAGAGAAAGAGAGAGAGAGAGAGAGAGAGAGAGAGAGAGAGAGAGAGAGAGAAGAACACTATCTACTGCCGCGATTAACTCGGGAAAGGGAAAATTCTAAAGCGGGATCTTTCTTAGTTTACATGCTTATACCTTAGCAATAGTCGGATAGTAAGGCAATGAAATAAATGAAAGATAGTATGAACTATTTAATAGAGAGCAAACGCATCTTTTTATCATGTCTTCATACATGTCTTTTACACGGTCGTCATCGTTTGCTATGTAGGGTGCACTGTATGCATTGCATAAAACAGACCGCGTTACCTACTGTAAGAAAATTCGCGAAATTTTGGGCCAACTATTTGAGTAACATGTGAATATTATCCAAATGAGAAAGCAGCTGCCACCGGGACTTACTCTCCTTGATTAAAAGTACTACCATTTGTCGTTGTTATTATTAGGTTTGGTTAAGATGGTCCTTTTCCATGATGGAAGTCTCCAAGTAATTGAAAGCATGTTTTCCTTACGATTTCTGCTCACCAATAAAAAAGGTGACCCTTGGAGGCTACATTTTAGTTAAAATTTTTGTTGCCTGTAGCCCGTCCGTATGCGGGACAATACACAGTTTCCTGGGAAACAGGGAAATTACGGCTTGGGGCTTTTCTCGGCGAATATATTGCATTGGAATTTCTTCTATGCGATCGGTTTTTGGCTAAATATTCTGCAGAAGATACTTATCAAATATCGGGAAATTTCTCAGCAGATTTATGCAAAGATTTTCTCTTATTCTATAAATAATTGCTTTCTTTTGCTTTCCAAATTTTTTATGGATAACATAACTCTAAACAATTTGAAAACTTCTCCTCCGAAAAGTAATTTCATCGTATCGCCTTGTGATTCTGAAGATATGAAGGAAAGTAGCGGCCTGATCGAAATTTTGACTTATTTAAGTTATTTAATCGATGGGTTCAACCAAAGCGAAACGATCACTTGGAAAAAAAAGGGGTACGATTTCGAAAGAAGCAGCAAACGTGTCACGTGAGTTGAAGCAAGACAACGATCGATTCGATATTGCAAATAACTGTTAAAGAAATGTTAAAAACATTGAATTTATCTCATCCGATGTGTCATGGGATATTGCATATGCAAAAAATAATGCATATGCTCTTAGAAGTCCTGTTTTAAAATTTCCTTTGAAATATATAGGTAACGATGATCAACGTTGAACGTTTCCAATCAAGGAATTTTTGATTGGTAAATTTTTGAAAATATTTTCAAATAATCATAAACAACAAAAAAAAAAGAAAATAAGTATGGTCAGCTACGACCTCGTATTGGATAGATACCCTACATCGCTGCGCACTTAATAGTGTTCTTTATATATTTCATGTTTGTATAACAACTTTTCAAAACTAAGGCGTTTTAAAAGAAGTGCTCCGATCCGAACCATTTTTAATTGAGCCCGTCATCATCCTTGGGCCAAAAAGCGTCGGTGTACCGAATTGCATGAAAATATATTGAATACATATTGAAACAAGACGGAGTGAGGGGCAAACAAGCGATCGGTATAATAAAATCTGGTCGATCTATTTATCTCAAGTCCGTCTAGATATTGCATACATCCGCACAAACTTAATAATATAAAGTTGTACCGCAAGTGATGTAGGGATTATAAAACTATAATGTATATATGTATAAAACTTGAGAATAAAAATCCTTTGTATACAATATTAATGGCTGTAGTAGGGGTTTAGCTTAATAAATTATCTAAAGAAATTATCGAGCTTAGTTCTTCGTTCAATCAGCTTAACTAACATTTGTTTCTACATTTTCGGTACATATTTAATTTTTATATATATTTAAGCTATAAATTTTTCTAAATTTTTATTTTTTTTTTTGATTTTTTTTTTTCTTTAACATTATATTTTATTGTCAATAACGTATTATATAGAATTAAATTTTAAAATATTAAAAAGAAAATAAAAATTTTGAAAACCTCTTGTGATTTGAAGGGGTTTTAATATATATTATAAACAATAACGGGATTCGATATACATATATATGTTGTTTTTAATAAACTCTTGCATCCTGAAAATAATTACGTAGTAGTTAATAAAGCTCAACAAACATTTTCAAAATTAAAAAAAAAAAAAATAAAACAAAAAAAACTCCCGAAAACAATTCTTCTTATTATGCTGACAGGAATGAACTTATCTGATCCTAAAAAGTCTTTTTTCTTTTTTTTTGTCTGTTTTGCTGCCTTTGCCTTTGGATAACGTTTCCATTTCTTATTCACGGTACAGCTATTTTTGATTTTTTTTTAGCGGTTTGCGTTTCAGTCTCTAAGGCTGGTTTACGGGGTGCGGTCATATTGAATTCAATTACATGATTTTAATTTATTACTTGAAATCAACAAATTCCTATAAAATAAATTATTCCAAAATTTGTTTCCGTGATATGTTTATAATATATACAAAATTTTCGATTAGTTTTGTTTTATTTATATATGTATTTATTTATTTTTTTTTTTTTAATACGTTATGTGCGTTTTGAAAATTGCTTCTTTTTTTTTTTTTAGTATTTTATGCAAGTTTTAGTCTCTTAGTTATTTATATCTCTAATATATGATTATATAAAAAAAAAAAACCTTTTTTGGCAGTGTTTGCGTTATTTCCTACTCCATTTTGCTGTTAAAAATTGACTGTCTGTCTGTATGTCCGTTCGCCTTAAGAAAAAGATTTTATCCCAAACTTCTACACTTTTGATTTTTTTTTTCTTCAGGACTTCAGGTCATTCGAAGATAAGAACGTCATTTGTTGAACCCCTTTGTCAGATAATAGTACTTTTCATATAATTTGTTTGTTGTGCTATTGTTTTTCACGTTAGGCTCATTCCAATAAAGCTGATATTAGAAACATAAGAAAAAAATTATGTTAACTTTAAGTAATAATGTTACAGTCGGGCAAGGCCGACCACAAGGTGCCTCATCAATCATTTTGCCCAGTACAGTCATTCACTCATTTGGAGAGATGCCCAAAATATCATAGTACTTCCGAAAGACTCTAGCGCTTTTCAGTTCGCATCATAAAAAACTAAAAACTAGACTTTCTCTCCCTATAAGGCCTTACTTTTTATATATATTTATTGGATTCAAAAAATAGACCTATGCGGTCCAAAGTTCCTACTGTTAATTTCTTTGTTGAGTAGTAGTGTTGCTATCGACCGCTTATTATCATAAACTGTTCTTTTTCTGATGATATTATTACTACTACGAGAAATCTTACCTCGAGTCCACGAAATAGACCCATGTGCTTCAACTTTACTTCACTTAATTTTCATGTCAAATTGCTATCTTAAACAAATAACAATTAAGCCTTTTTGGCATGTAAGGATTTACATATCCTGAGAGCCCTTATGTGAGGCGGTGCCCAAAAATAGACCTATGTGGTCGAAATTCGATAAGGTTGACCTCTTTGTCAATTTGGTATAATGGATCAATTTTTATCGTGAATTATTGCAAACTATACCTAGGAACGGATATATACATGCGAGTTCAAGAAATTGATCCAGCCACACCAATGTAGAATGTCGAAGTATTATTACTCAACGCATTGCTTTATATGGCGAACGATCGAAAAATTGGACAGATTTGAACCATTTTCAATACCGTTCGTCCTTGGGTCAAAGCACGTCATTGTACCGAATTTGATGAAAATGTCTGAAAACTTGCGATTTGTAATTTGAACACAAAAATACATGCTTAATGTCCAATAGTTTAAGGCAAGAGGGTTCACCCTTACTCCTATCTTAATAATGTATTTGCGAAAATCAACTAAGAGCTTATGTACTTAATGTCTTGAGACTTCAATCGTTCAAACTTATAAATACCTGAATGGGTAGCCACGGCTAGGTCAACTCGAAAGCTCTTGGGTAAATAGTCTAATTACCTTTGTCGTATTTTTCATAAAAACTTCAATGCGAATCTCAAAGCTAACGTCAAGTTAACGTTATGAATAAGTAGTGAGTCTGGGATTTGTTTTTTTCTTTTGTCTAAATTTTATGTATTAAGTACAAGTGTTAGTCAAAGGTTGAGATACCGGAATTTTCTTTACTTTATTTATACCTTTTGTTCTTATTTTCTTTCTGCTTTAGAATATCGCCGTAGTGTGTCTCGTAAATACTATTACTAACGCATTTATTATAAAGTGAAAAAAAAAATTTTTTTTTGTTTTAACTTCCCGATATAATTATATTAACATACATATACGTACAAAGAAATTACAACAACAATTTGTAATTATTATTATTGTTATTATTATTAGATAATTATGACGATGGATATAGTGTTGTAGAGATCTGTGTGCTTTTACTTCTATAACATCATATATATGTACATCAATGTTATCACTTGATTGTTTCGCCAAAAAGGACCAACTCTATCAGACTATTACTGTGTGTGTTGCTGTCACTCTGTGTGTGTATGTGTGTTTGTGTATGTGTGTATGTGTGTATATGTGTGTGCATTGGTTTGCATGAGAAAGAGAGTATGCAAGCTTCAAGTTTATAATCCCATGAATGATTGCTGTTGCTGCCGTTGCGGCTGCAGTTGTAGTGACGACATCCTTCTTACGGTGATTATCAGTACAAATGTATTTAAAATGAATAAACGTTGCTGATGGTGTTTTGTATAATCCTTTAAACTGCCGGCCGCTGAGTACGGATATGGATTGTCTAATGTTTCAAAAACACGACCACACACGCACCCATATGAGCACAAACATACAAACACATATAACCCAATTCACATATCATAAATTACAGTTATGTTTTTAAAATTTTGGAGAGAAATTAACGCGTAGAGAGGAAAGAGTGCAACGCATATATAGATTTTTGTTTGATTTTTTTCAAAAGTTTGCGGACATATATTTTTAGTGCCATTTAGTGTTGTTACACAGGCAGAGAAAGAAAGAGAGAGAAAGAGAGAGAAAGAGGGAGAGAAAGAGGGAGAAAGAGAAAGAGAGAAAAAGAGAGAGAAAGAGAGTGAAAAAAACAACATAATTAAATAAACGAGAGGAAGAGAGAAAAATATAGGAAAAAAAGAGAAAAAGAGAGAAATATTTTTTGATATAGATTTCACTCTCGATCATATCCAAAATAAATTCTCGAAATGATTTTTACTTCTCTTTTCGAAATGACCTTCATCTTATGTATATATACATATATATATATATATATATATATATATATATATATATGCATATACATATATATATAGAAAGTGAATGGAGTGGTAGTGATTGTTTAGTGGTTTATATTAGATTTATCTGAAATTTTCTGTTTGGCAACTGAAGATTGGTGGTTTTGTGAGCGATTCCGATCAGAAAGATTAAATATAGATAATAAAGACGAGAGTTTTTTCATGTTCCCTATGTGTAATTGTGATAGACTATATTATCAAATTGTTTCTCTATGATTTTGTGATCTGAATCAATAAACTGAAAAAATATTAATTTTAGAAAAATATATTAACATAACAAAAAGACACGCAGGCAGGCACACTTTTTGCAATCATTGCATCAATTATTATTAATTAACACTAAAAATATGAGAATAATACAAATATATGAATATAAATGAAGGAGGGACGTTTAATAATCTATTGAGATAATTTTGTGAGAAGTTTTTCTGCCAAAAGAAATCGGAACGAAATTTATGAAAATAAGTTTAGATTATAGGTAGATGCAAACTGGGAACGCGTTATATCAAGCGAGATGCACTCACTTCAGAATAATGTGTAAGAGAGAGAGAGAGAGAGAGAGAGAGAGAGAGAGAGATAGAGATAGAGAGAGAAACAGAGAGAGAGAGAGAGAGAGAAAGATATTATTATAAAAAAATTCAGAATTGATAGAGCTTTCTCATTAAGAGAGGAAACAGTGCCCCTAACAAAGTAATTTCTAAGCAATTGAAGTTTTCTCATTGCAATTGTGACGATTTCTCTCATATACAGGTAAACTTTTTTTATTTAATACCTTGCCTATTTAAAACTCTAAAATAATACTAAGTAAGAGTAGGTGACAAGTCGAATTTTCAGAGTTCATGGGTTAAGGTATAGTTTTTGTTTATGGAATGGGTTTCATTTTTGCGATTTTCCGTTTATTGTGGGACGATGGTTTTACCATGCTTATGTGAGTTTCGAACTTGACCAAAGAAGTTTTTTTGATGTCTAAAGCATTTGTTAGGAAAATGTTTAAAACTAATTCTCTTCAATAGCAGAGTGAATTTTCTATTGTCTGCAGACGATTCCTGTTATTTCTGTTCTTTGGAGGACTTTTCATCTGTGAAATGCTTCCATTCCCTTGTGGATAGGTCAGTAAGAAGGCTAATCAAATCGACAGAAATCGTACACGGTATCGGCATTGCTCCTTTAGTTATAAGATATCCTTTAAATTTTACGTTACATTCGTTATGAATATACCGGGATACCTGCTAAGACGTGAGAACCAGCAAAGATTTATAATCGTGAAGTAAAATATTGCAAGACCAAAGAGGAATAGAGTAAGAAAGAAAGAGAGAGAGTGAGAGAGAGAACGAACGAGAAAGAGAACGAGAAAGAGAAAGAGCGAGATCATTGGCAACTGGTCTCTTAGTTTATGCTATATATACGCAAAGAACGCATTTATAGGACATTTACATATCATACACGCAACGTACACTGAACAAAAGAATTTTACATAAAACTAAAAAGAAGCTCAGAGAAAACTTAAGCAAGCACCTTTCTTATATAGAATAATAGATATAGAGAAGGATAGGAAGAGATAGGAAGATATATATATATATATATATATCTTATATGTTTAGCTATTTTTCTTATAGCTATTTTTTATATGAGAAATTAGTTAAACATACATGACGAACACACAGACGAACATGTGTTACACACAAAATGCACACACAAACAAGTAAATAATAAATTTAAACGAAAAAGGAAGGCATCCATGACTTGGTATATGTATGTGTACAAATATACATATATTTATATATCTATATATATATATATATATATATATATAGGAAGAGAAATAGAGAGATAGAAAGAGATCAAGAGAGTAAGAAAGATAATTAAATGAAAATGCTTTGTTTTTCTTTTAAATATTTTATCATATCTTCAGAGTCAATTTTATTGTTTAAAGAAAAATTATTAATTATGTTAACTAAAATCATGTTTTTTTTTTTTTCATTTATTATAAAACTATATTAGCAATAAAATAAAAAATTACAACTAAATCGAAAGAGGAAAACGTAAGAGTATACGAAAAAAAAAAAAAAATTATTATTAATTTTATTACAAAATTCAAATAGTTTTTATAGCTATTTTTTTATAAGAGAGTTAGTTAAACATACATACACGTACGGACAAACATATGTTACACGCAAAATGCACACACAAACATACAAATAAACGAAAACATAAAATAAAATCAGATAAATTTAAAAAAAAGAAAAAAAAAGCATCCTTGACTACAGTGATTGATAAAAAAAAAAAACAAATTCAATTATCTGTTGAAAGCAAAAGTATTTCTAATGAAAATCATATGACTTCTCATAAATGGAATTTGGATTTGTAAACATTGTCTGTCCTTAAATACATTTGTATATAGAGTAGCGTGTAATGACAGATTTATATTAATATGCATATATATAAGAAATAATACTCTATGTTGTTGTTCTTGTTTTCGATGTTCTTTGTCTTTTTTTTTTTTTTAACAATATTTTTTAAGTAAATTTCTTTTATACATAAGTGAAAGAGCGGATAGAATGAAATGAAAACAAATAATAAAATTGTATCCGGTTCGAGCCAATTCTTGGATGCTCAAGCAAATTAAGTAGGGTTTTTTAATAAATGCGGCCGCGGTGCATGTCTCTTCGAAACATTGTTTCGATGATATGTACACTAACAGCCGGATGGATAACTGATATCCATAGGAATATTCTTTTATTGACGGCAATTTTTTTATTAAAAGTTCTGGTCATTAAAGAACTCACGCGTAATAACTGCTTGACCTTGTCTTTAAAATTAAGGAATTTCTTCCCCTTTCCTTCGAAGAAATTTGATCGATTAAATCGTTTCAAAATCTAATTCATATTAGGTATATATATATGTGCTTATACATACCCATACATAATTTATGGGATTTCAAGACTTTGCAAACGGAACGATAAACTTAATGCATCTTTTATCTTTCAGTGATTGTTATAATAATAAACAGAAAAAAAAAAGAACGAAAAATTTCAAGAACAAAAAAATTTTTTTTTTTTTTTTTTGTTCTCTTTTTTAAGCAATTAACTTAATTTTTATATATATGGAATTTTTAAAAATCTTATTAGTAAAATATTTTTATTTTTGGCAGTTAAAAAATATTAAAAATCATTTTAATGACATTTAAAATAAAATTTTTATATCCCCATCTCTCTCCTATGTTGATACTAAAAGCAAATGAAATGAGTTGATAATGCGGCCGTAAGTGGAATTAAATCGCGGCTTTGCTCGCAAAATCAATTTCTTGACTGTGTGGCCTCTTAGGCGAGTTGTTTTAGATGGCCTAGACTCCCAAGCAATCAAAAACTGCGAACAGTTTCCGCATAAAACGGAGTTGATGGAGAGACTCGTGATGAGAAGCGAGGAAATGATGGATTTGTGGTTGTGTTTATTTAAATTAGGTTAACTTAAGGTTTCGCTAGCTCTATGCTACACTTTATGTTGCTGAACTGATAATTTTAATGGATTCCAGGCTTTTTTTTGTAAATTTGTTAAGACGTTTAGTGAGAACAGTATGACCAGGTATGAAAGAGACGACAGTCAAGAAGAAATCAATTTATCAGCAAAATGAAGTTTTGTTATTACAACAACAACAACAACAACAACAACAACCATTGTCACAACAACGAATTGTCCCTTTTGACTTTTCATCAACATGACAGCACTGTTTCATCCAATATGGCGATTCTTTGATTTGGTCTTATGATATGGCTTACATCAGGCATTCACATACCGGGTAGAATCAATTGCTGTAAACCTTGTTTCACAAATAGGTTGATCGCGTCCCCCGGATTACATTGGCAACAACAGCAACAATGGGATGTGGGAACACTACACCTCTCAGAACTTTTTAAGGGAGTTAGGTTAGCTTGCAGTGGCAAAGCACTTGGTCCATTGCCAAAATGTATTAATCAAGCGAAATGCACAAGTTTAGCTTATACAGTAGAGGTGAAGAAATGAGCGAGCACCGAAGATCGGTGGTGGTTAAGGGGACGAAACCGTATCATATATTTTGATTTAGTTACAAATTACTTCATATTTTTCATATCAGCCGAAGATACCTAAACGTCGATGTATATTCGCTAAATATTCGTTTAAGTAATCTACGCACGTAGGTAGGCAGATACGAATCGAGAAAGTCAAGTCGGGAAATTCATGCATTTTTATCACGTCACACTAATTTAAATTGTCGATAAATAATAAAATAAAAATGAAAATATGCAGCAGGGGGCGGCGACGGTGGCGATGGGTGGCGATGGGTGGGGATTGGTGGGCGCGGGGGGGGCTTATAACCAATGATCATTTCGTTTGCCAATTATGGTAAACAATTTAATTTTATCTCTCTAGCTTTCGCTTTCACAACACTTATTACTCATAATCCAAAAATCACCTCCTCCACTAAAGGGTTTACGGCCACGAGTTGGAGATATAAAAAGAAGAAAGTCGATCATTGCCGACATAAGGTATATATATGTAACTTATTTAAGTCAAAATTTTAAGTCAACTTTAAATGATTTTCAGTGTTCTGTAGTGTTTTGTAGTATGATGAAAAAATACTATAAAAATTTAAAGACTCTCACATACACTCATATTAAAGTTGCATTTAAGCACATAATACAAATAAACTAATTTTTAAAAAAGGTTTCTTAATATATTTATTAAACAAAAAAAAAAAAAAAAAAAAAAAAAAAAAA